ATTTTTTATATTTTTTTGAAATATCTCTGTCCATAGATGGCTCTGCTAGTCCTGATTTCACCTTTCCTTGAATTGGCGGGAAAAAACGTATTCTTACTAGTGCTATAAATATAGATGGGATAACGTTAAATATTTTCGTAAATCGATGAAAAGGGTGAGCGGGCGAGACAGGCAGTACTCGTAATTGGCTCATTGGATACTTAGTACAAGTGTAGCCATCTATGTGTAAAAACAATCGAACAAGTCGACTCGCAGTGGGCATGGCATGTACGTACATGCCATCCCCGGCGGCAATGGGTTAAAGCCATTATTTCTTGGGTTTGCTACGAGTTGCTACGTACTGTATTTGATATATTTATATAATTTTCTATGCATGCACTATAATTCATTGCACTGAATAGTGTCTTCATAGCTCATATCTTCATATGTGTGTGTGTGTGCACGTTGGTGTTAATGTTCTTATGCACGCCTATATACTTACACACACACGCAAAGTTTGACGGATTTTAGATTCAATAACTCATGTACATAGACGCAAAACCAAACATGTACTGAAAAGCGATTTTATTAAGTTTTACATGATACCTCTTTACAAGTATGAAACTAGTATAAAGCGTAATGTGCGGGTACGAATCCATGGCTCTGCTGGTACGAATAGCCGTATCCTGGATGGCTGACGGAGCTGCTATAGCCGTAGACTGATCCTGTGTGACCATAGCTTGGATTAGCATCACGCTTGTGGAGCACGTGGTTGTAGGATCGAGTGAAAGAGAGACCGCCGTATGGGTGGTAAGCTACGGCTGGTCCGTATCCATAACCGATCCTTCCACCATGTCCATAACCATATGCTGGTAGGACGAAACCAGGTTCAGCTTCTCGTTTGTGAAGATTATGGTTGAAGCTGCGTACAAAAGAGCGACCGCCATATGGATGGCGAGCTATGGCTGGTGCGTATCCATAGGAATGACCGTATCCATAACTATATGCTGGATGGCTGTAACCAGGTTCAGCTTCTCGCTTGTGGAGGTTGTGGCTGAAGCTGTGTACAAAGGAACGACCGCCATATGGGTGTTGAGCTATGGCTGCGTGCCCATACCCAACGCCATACTGCCGACCACTAACAACGCCATGGGGAAGGGGAAAGCCGACGCCATGGCCATAAGAAGGCTCAGCCTCGCGCTTTTGCTCTGCTGCCACGGAGGCAACCAACAATACAGCGATCTGTAGATAAAGGTTCAGATTTCAGATTATCTAAGCAAGTGAGCCTTTCCATTCACAAAGGATACCTTTATGTCACTGTCCTATGCTTCTGTTAAAGAACGAAAAGGATTCCTTACCAAAGCCTTCATAGTGGATACTGCAGAGAACTATGTGAAGACAGTCAAGTACGCGTTATATATAGAGCGATATGTCGAGCCACGCCCCACATTTGATTTTGACCTTCGGTAGTTTTATCGTGCCAGATTTACCACATTTGTAGTTTTATGTAAGAGTGTATGAACCAGGAAGCAGATCTTAATATATATATGGCATCGTGATTAAATATATTGCTGAATTAAATTACTGTTTATAGACATGTGTATACTGTATATGTGATTACCTGGTGCTTTCATAAATGGATGGTTTATAGATTTTAAATCTGCACAAAGCAGAATAAAGTGTACTTTACTTATTGGTCTTTTTAATTCGAAAGTAGATTATCCATAAAGACCGTGTGCAAGGCCAATAAAAAATATATATGCATTAGCTTTGACATAAGATGAGACCAATAAAAAAGATCAGCTAGGGACACCCACATCCGACTAAATAGATAATTTTACCCTGCGCAAAAAATATTACTTAGAATTAAAGAGATGGAACTAGAATTAAGAAAGGTTATTTACTACAGAGTATTCTCTTCTCCAACGGTGATTGGAATGTAAACATATGCCTATTAAATTATATAATAACTCGCCGAGTAGACCAGCCTAGAACAGTTAAGAAGAATCGGCTAAAAGGCGATAGACTTTCATTCAGCTTTTGTACGATCCATACAAGTTGTTAGTGTTTATCTATGAAAACACACATGTAAATAAATATATTTGTACATTTAAATACATTAGCTTTTGCATGAATATATATATATTTATATAACATATACACATACAAGTATAAATATACATCTATATTCATATATATATATATATACATACATACAGATATATATATATATATATATATATATATATATATATATATATATGCATATGTATATATATATAAATATATATATATATATTCATATATATATATATATACATATATATATTTATATATATATACATATATATATATATATATACATATATATATATAAACGTGTGTCTGTGTACATATATATTTACCTATATAATATATATTCACATATTTTTGTACAATTTACATTTTGTATCCATCAATATAGATACATATACACTAATATACATGTATGTGTGTATGTATATGTATAAATGTGTATGTACTTATTGATAGATGTATAATATATAATGTATGCATATACATATATATGAATAATATATCCATACATATGTGTGTGAGTGTATACATATGTATGTATGCATAGATTTGTATTTCTTTATGTATATGTATTTACATGTAAACATACATATACATGCATCTATACATGTGTGTATATATATATGAATATGTATATATGAATGGCTAAACGTTCTTCCATGTAGATACTATGGTTGAAAAACCCACAATGAAAATGAGACTACAGTTTCGAAATTCATCTTCAGGTCTGAAGGGGAAAGGATATAAGGATAAGTCCGATATGCGAAGCTGAACCTTGCCCGAACTATGCCCATGAAGGAAGCTCGGCCTGTGTTGACTAATGTCGACTCGTTAACGTGTGTCAGCTGGTGCTGACTCGGCTGAGCTCAGTCCTTACCCGCCGTGGTGCCCAGCCACAGCAGTAACCTCCAAGCGACAATTGCAACTTCTCGCGCTTGGGCGGGGCGCGAACCATCAAACCCTCGGATAAGAGGCCGATACGTTACCACGGTACTAGCCCGGAGGCTAAGAGGAAAGGGAAAGGAGTGGGTATAAAAGATAGAGAGGAGAGGCAACGCGATGCCACGGGGCAGGTGAGGACACGAACGGAATCGAAGGAAGGTCAGATCAAGTCGGAGGATCGGGCGGACTACGCGTAGGGTGGCCCGCATTAGGGAGAAGGCGGAGGATGTAGGAAGCAAGGAGACTATCGGCATGAGAAAAGCCATTGTTCAAGTTGAAATGGTGACATTCTCCCTGCGCAGGGACTAACGCCTGAGAATATAAGATTTAGAATGGAGGAGAGATTCGAGGGCCGGGATGAAAGCATATATACGTCCAAGGTTTCCTCTCTTTTGATAAATCATATAGTAGTTCACTAAGTAAATAAGGTATTTTATCTAATCTACTTGTTATATATCATGAGCTAACTTTTTTGTTTTTTCCTTATATCCTCTGGGGAATAGATTGCTTCAGAGGAAACAGTAAACTCTGTATTATATATATTTTCAATATATATAAGCTCAAAACTCAAACAAAACTCATTATTGCACATATGTATATGTTTTATATATATATATATATATATATATATATATATATATATATATATATTATATATTATATATAAAGAAGCCCGCTGTACTGTAGCCACTATAGTCCAGCCCGGCGTCATATTTCCCGGGATAGTTCGGACCGGGATGCTGTAGTCCAGGGTAATATAGCCCAGGGTAATATAGCCCAGGGTATGCGGCCACTGTAGTGCGAATTTGCTACCAGGTTCTTCCACCCCTATACAAAATATGGAGGCTGAAAGAACCCGTTTAGATAGGAATTTGCACTATATATGTATGTGTGTGTGTACATATGTAATGTTTTCCTCACAATTTTCTAAATTAACAAACATATACTTACAATGAGTATCATTGGAGTTCGGAGCCAAGTGGCTGTCCATATAACGGCTACCATAGACAATGGTATTCTTCAAGTTCGAAGCAGCGAAACGGGTCGTCCAGGTAAACCAGATGCTTCGCTGACGGACACAAGAACGCACGAACTCTCACATATTGCACATAAGCCCATCACCAAACCCTGTACAATATATATATATATTTGTGTGTGTGGAGGAAAGAGGATACACACACACGTTTATATGTAAATATACACAGATATTTGTAATAGGCCTATATGTCAATATTCATTCACTCATACACTCATCAATCCATATCTACAAATACACGGATGCACAGAGGCTGGAAAGACTGAGACCGGGTATTGAAGAGTCTCGTTCAATCTTCATAAAATAAAAAGTGAGAGATGACCAGGCTTTAAAAAAATCATGGGAATGGCTCCGACATTACTTCTGCATATGCTGTAAAGTCAGCATATTTGAAGCTAACAGAGCAATATTATTGATTTGATTATCGTTAAACACTTTGTACGGGAATAGAATGCATATGTATTTAGGCATTCTTGCTTGCATTTAGATTCTTTGACTTAATAAAGCTGCCTTAATACAGTTCTCAATATTATGTAGGGTATAACAAATTAATCGGTTTTCTTACACCAGTAAGTGAACACGAGCAGGTCCATGTGCATTAAGATTTTTTTTTTTTTTTCAAATTTTCGTTCATTTGTTTCAGCGATAAAGTCATTTTCTTATGGGTTTGCTGCTGGGTTGCTAATTTCTGTTTTGATATTTATATAACTATTTGTTTATCATCTTTATACATAAACTATAACTCGGAGAATACATTGACTAGTGCGTCTTCATAGTTCACTCTATATGTATGCGCGTATTTGTGCATAATGTTTGTGAACAAGTTCATTTGCATACACACACACGGGCACGCAATTCTTGACAGATTTTGAATATCTCATGCAAATAATTGTAAACAAAATTGTATTGAATCTTATGTATCTTATTAAATTTTACAACATGCTACACCTTTTTATGAGTAATGAAACTAGTATAAAGCGTAATGTGCGGGTACGATTCCATGGCTCTGCTGGTACGAATAGCCGTATTCTGGATGGCTGACGGAGCTTCTGTAGCCGTAGACCGATCCTGTGTGACCATAGCTTGGATCAGCGTCACGCTTGTGGAGCACGTGGTTGTAGGATCGAGTGAAAGAGACACCGCCGTATGGGTGGTAAGCTCCAGCTGGTCCGTATCCATAGCCGATGCCTGCACCATGTCCATAACCATATGCTGGTAGGCCGAAACCAGGTTCAGCTTCTCGTTTGTGGAGGGGGTGTCTAAAGCTGTGGACAAAGGACCGTCCGCCATATGGGTGTTGAGCTATGGCTGCGTGCCCATACCCGACGCCATACTGCTGACCGCCATGAGGAAGGGAAAAGCCGACACCATGGCCATAAGAAGGTTCAGCCTCGCGCTTCTGCTCTGCTGCCACGCAGGCAACCAACAATATAGCGATCTGCGTATGGAGATTTAGATTTCATATTACCAGAGTAACTGTGCCTTTCTATTTAGTACAGAGTAGCTCGTAAATTTCGTTGTCTAAATGTAATTATTAAAGAAAAAATGGACTCACCAAAGCCTTCATCATAAATATTACAGAGAACGGAGACAGCGACTGTATGTGAAGGTAAACAGATACGCGTTATATAGGCGATATATCGAGCCACGCCCCACACTCCGCTCTGACCTTCGGTAACTGCTTTCATGCTAGATTAACCACATTGTAGTTTGAAGATAAAGTATAAAGTAAAAAGCAAACATTATTAAACATTTCGATTTGTAAATACGTATATATATATACATGAATATATATAAAATGTATATCTTTTTTCTATATCTAGATATATAGAAGATACAGATGTGTATGTGTATTTGTGCAGTAAGATTAAAATGGAAAGTAAGATAAGATACACACATTTAAGCGTGTAATATATATATAAATATATATATATATATATATATATATATATATATATATATATCAGCAGCAGCAGCTGCACTTACCCTTATCTGCAGCACATAGGTCTCTCCCAATGTTTTCTTATTCTTCCGGTCTTGCGTTCACCGTTTCGAATTTTAGATTAAATGTGTTAGTGTGTGTGTGCATGCGCGCGTATGTTTGTGTCCACATAAACATATTCACACATTATTTGTTCGTTACATGGACTGGTGTTACTTTTATATGTTTATACATTCATTCATTACTTTATTTATTCTTAAAGTCAGGTTGTAGAACAAGTAGAACTGCCGGAATCCAAACAGCTCTAGAAGAAGCATATGTCCAGCAGTGTCCTTGATGAAAACTGATATATATATATATATATATATATATATATATATGTGTGTGTGTGTGTGTGTGTGTGTGTGTGTGTGTCTGTGTGTGTGTGTGTTTGTGTATATATATTTTTTTAAATATATATTTATATATACATATGTATTATGTATATATATGTATGTATATATATATACATACATATATATATATATTATATATATATATATATATATATATATATATATATATTATATACATATATATATATATATATATATATATATATATATATCATAACATTATATATATATATAATATATATATATATATATATATATATATATATATATATATATATTTATATATGTATATAATACACATATATATATTTGTATGTATGTATCTGTGTGGGTGTGTGTATATATATATTTACATACACACAAACGTACATACATACGCAAGAACATATAGTCATACATTATTGTATTTTACTTTTTGAGAAAAATACATTGTTTCTGCCATAAGAAAACAAAATCATTACTACAGGAATTTATTTAGAATTGAGAATCTTACAACTAATAGATCATTTCGGTTCTAATGTTCGTTTTCGCCAGCAACAATCAAAGGCATAAGAATAGCCCTAGTAGTGACGGTAGTAGCTTGGGTAGTGTACCTGGTGCTGACGCTGGTAAGAGTATCCGTAGCCCGGATGGCGGACGTGGGTCTCGTAGCCGGACACACGAGCTGGCGTTCTAACGTAGGGACTGTATGGAATGTATCCTGGGTCAGCCTCACGCTTTCCCCGGTATACGGTGGGGCCAACGTAGGAAGTACCTCCATAAGGGTGACGTGCTACACCTGAGACACGGTAGGGCTGACGGAGACCGTGACCATAGGGACTATAGGCTCTAGGATGGTAGGATGGTCTGTAGAGGGAGGTGTGGTATCCATAGCCTGAAGGTTCCGCCTCTCGTTTCTGCTCTGCTGCCACAACGGCAACCAACAGTAGTACGATCTGGTCGAGGGAAATGCATTAATTAATTATTTAGATTGGATGAGAAATATTACAGCTACTATTAATGAATTGAAATATGCAGTGGATATATATAAAGGGCATTTGGGGCTGGCAGTCTGAGAGTTAGTTTGTTTGTTTTATCCCTTTTTCGACATATGGTTACCCTTGCCTTCCGGAATTCAGTAAAATGATAGG